TTTTGTGTCCCAGCTGATCAGCAGGAGGAGAATCTGACGGAGGAACATTTTCAGCCATTTGGACTCAGCTCAGCCACTACAAAGGAAACAATGACTTCAACACAGATGGTGAGGAAGAAATGTTGAACCTGTGGTCAAGTTACAAGAAAATACAAAGATCACATTTTATAAGGATACTGAAGTAAAATAAAGTCAGCTGCACTCTTAATTTTTCATACAATATATTTTTTCCCAATGAGCAAAATATTTTTCTTATTGTTATTTTTATTACAGAGGGAGTTTCAATTCAATTCAATTTTATTTATATAGCGCCAAATCACAACAGCAGTCGCCTCAAGGCGCTTTATATATTATATACAGTAGATCGTACAATAGTAAAAAAGTTTGTTCCACGACTGCGTTTCACTCACGGCCTCTGTTTGTATCTCTGTCACTGCAGGACCAACATGGAGCAAGAAGTCAGCGCTCTCAGGAGGCCGACAAACCTCACAGAAGAAAGGGACAGAAAAAATACAGCTGTGATGAGTGTGGGAAAGATTTTACTAAGGCTGGAACCTTAAAAATACACCAACTCATCCACAGTGAAGTTAAACCGTACAGCTGTGATGAGTGTGGAAAGGACTTTACTTATGCCGGAAGCTTGAAAACACACCAACTCATCCACAGTGGAGTTAAAGCGTACAGCTGTGATCAGTGTGGCAAAGCTTTTGCTCGTAGTAGCTACTTAAAGATTCATCAAGTTACCCACTCTGGAATTAAGGCGTACAGCTGCGACATTTGTGGAAAAACTTTCAGACATCGAGGGTATCGAAATATTCACCTACGCATCCACACCAGACATGACGTTTACTGCTGTGATCAGTGTGGGAAACTATTTGCAACAGACACACAGTTACAAAATCACATGTTTACCCACAATGAGGAGAGACCTTATAAATGTGACAAGTGTGAGAAGACGTTTAAAGCTCCACATTACCTGAGAGTCCACCAACAGATCCACACCAATAAGAAACTGTACAAGTGCAGTTACTGTGAGGTATGTATTTATATTTTTATCTTGTTATTGTAGCCTGGCTGTTTGGAACAACTCTGCTTATTCAGTTGTGTTAGCATGTTAGCAATTAGCTAACATGCTAACACAGTTCTCCACACTCTGGACTCTCTGCTCAGTTCAGTTGGTTTTCCCATTGCGCTGCACAGTCAGCAATTCGCCCAGTTCTCCATGTGTCTGTGATGTTTTGTCAACCTCAACTAGGGCTGGGCTATATAATACCGTTCACGGTAATACCGGTGTAATTTTGGGCAACGATAGGAAAATGAAATATCGCGATAGAATATGGGTAAAACGTGCATGCGCAGTGCCTATGTTTACATACCCACATGGC